GGGCCTTGCCTGTGCCGGCATCTGGGACAGCATCTTGTCATAGAGAGCATTTGACACATATTTGTTGAATGAATGAATGACATTAAATACCATGAGCCCTATTTAGTCATAGATAAGGAAGCAGAGGCTCAGAGGTGTAACGCTGCTCCCTCAAGAGGCAGAGCTGGAATTTTCATTCGGGTTAGTCTGACTCCAAGCCAGGCCTTTTCAAATACAGTGCTCTACTTCTACATGAAAAGGGGGATTTCATACCATCCTCCTGAGGGTGCACAGCCACAGGCATGCATGCACGCATGCACGCACCCGTGCTCATTGACCAGAGTAGGGGATAGAATTGCCCATGCTTTGTTTTCTTTTTCTATCTCTCATCCCAGTTAGTTGAATTTTTGTTAAATTAAAAGTTTAAGGCCCATTTGAAGTGGATCTCGTGTGTGTGTGTGTGTGTGTGTGTGTGTGTGTGTGTGTGTGTGTATGCATATACTTATACACAAACACATGCAATCCCAGGCAAGACTACTTTGAGGGAAGGCCAGACCTGACTCATATACTTGACATCAAAATCCCATCTATATAAACCTGAAAACGTGAGTGTTTTTGTGATTTCAGTACTTTGGTTAGCTAAGAGAGATATATACTGTATACTGTAATGTGCCTTATCCATTTTCACCTACTATGATGTTATCCATTATAGCAAAATGCACTGAACACCAACACTATATTGGTTGTTATTTACCCAGTAGTGATTCAGAATTCCATGGTGTTTTAAGATTATTTGTATTATGATGGTCCTGTATGTGGTGGAGGTGGAGGCCCTAGATCTACTCTGGTAGTTGCAGTGTTCCTGAGTCCCTACAAGCTGGTGAGCTCAGTTTCCTGTATAAAAATAAAAGGAAAAAATTCTCTGAGGTGAGAGAATGTTGATGCTATGTTCCCTATAAATGGGGTTATTGATGATCCTGACAATTAACCCTGTTATTCAACCTGTATAAATGAGTGTAGCCTGGTACCCCTGGTGACTTTTGACCCTTGTAGATAAAGTTTCTGTGTAGCTACAGTTTGAGGGCACAGTCTGGTTCTTGGCAAAGAGGTAGTGGCAGTAGAGAATTTCCCTTCTAGTGTAATGCTGAGGTGTTAATTATTATTTAATTAATTAACAATAATGAATACAAACCTGCCTGTCATCTCCTAGAAACTGCCATGGGCCATTCCTGTTATTACAGAGTCAGTAAACATTTATTGAAAAGGGACTAGCAGGCAATATGCCCCCAGGACGACTGAAGCAGGACTCCGGCCAGCCCTGAGCCCTCCACTGGAGAGGGTCCCCTCATGGGAGCCATTTCCTGGGTTTTTCATTCCACCCCAAGCACTCGTTTTACAAACACAGCCAAGAGTACTTTGAGGGGAGGCAGACCTGGCTCGCAAACCTGACATCAAAACACCAAAGTGTCCAAAAGACAGACAGACAGGCTCTGAGCCAGGTGAAACTGAAGCGTCCAAAATGGCACAGGTACCAGGCCCAGAACACCTAGTATCCCCCATGCCTTCCAGGGTTTGGAGTGAACCTAGTACAGGGGGAGCATTGCCTTTCAGAATCCCCACATGGTATATATTGGATTTCCTGAAGCAATTTCAGAGCAATGTGTTCTTTTGTTTTAAGATAAAATCTACTCAAGGCCATTAAGTTATTATTGTGTCTGATAAATCTGGACCACATGTGCCATGAGGCCCGTCTGTGTCCTTAATCTCAGTCACTTACTGTGTGTGCTTAATGCTACATGTTTTTGTTAAATATAATGTTACCACAGACATAAACCTAAAATAACATGAATTTTTTCAGTCAAGTGATCTTTAATTTAAACTAAAAATAGCCTAAACCGTAGTTTATGTAGACCTCAAATATCAAGACCCCCACCCCAATGCGAGTTCAGCAAACTGTAAATTTATGAGGCACTTGGTTAGCATTTGAACATTTTAAACCAGATCAAGCACAATCTGTATTAGAGACAAGCTCCAGAAAACCCAAGAGTTGCACTCCTGGCTGATCCTGCTGACTGGAACATTCCTTAGGGAAGTCCTTCTCTGGGGGCTGGCAGAATGAACCGTTAACACAACACCCTGCAGGCATAGGGGTGTCGAGGGTGCAGTCAGCGTTTCTCAGCACTTTTGTAAACATAGTTTTGTCTCCGGAGAGACCAGGTTCTCTGGCCAGCAGAGTCTGGAATGTGGGCGAAAGAACCTCTTTGATTTTACAAGCAGCTTGATCACCGGAGAAAAGTTGGAAGCATGTCACAAGTGAAACATTCCTCCATGTGTGGCGAGGCCATTCTGCCAGGGCTTGGATCTCCTCTGATGTGGTTTCCCAAACAACAGGGAGCATCTGGTGGCTGCTCAGGACGGTGGGAGAGGGTTTAGGATAGTGTGTTGATTCTCCCTGGGATTGGATTCTCCAGGGTCTGCAATGATGCAGTTTGACCTGCTCCACATGCTGTGCTTACACTATGTCCTTAGAGATGGAGGTTGGAGCCCTTTTTTTCATGAGACATTGTATTTCTGTAACCTCTACACGTACGGCAGAGTTCCCTGAAAGCCATCAACATTTTCAGATCTACCCATTTGAAAACACTATCACCACTTTTATTTACAGATACCAAGTCAAACCCTAAATCAAATTTAAGCTTTTAATATCCTTTGCTACATGCAGTTGAAAAACCAGTCAGTTCCTATGTTTCCTGAAACAGAGAGAGAGGTATAGATAATAGATATAGATATAGGTATAGATGTAGCTATAGATACAGATACAGGTACAGATAAAGATATAGATATCAAGCAGGAAAAAAAATAAAAACCTGAGTAATGACATTGAAAAATTATTCTTATTGGTCAGATGTATCTGATAATTTCTTGGTTCTCTACTTAACCCTAATTGGATGGATTCTTGACATCTAAGCAGGAGAGCAAGACTGCATCTACCCAGAGATGGTTTTCATTTTTCTGTTGAGCAAGCTGCTGCCACCCTAGATACCATGCATGAGGATCCTCCGATTTTTTGATGTTTACTGCTGCATTAAATAGTTAATCCATTTGATAAATATTTAGAGTGCTTGCTCTGTGCCAGTCACTCGTGGATAGGCTGGGATGGAAAGCTGCCTTTAGGGCACCTGGTGGGGTGGAAGAGCCTGTGGGAAATCCCAGGAGCGGGCATTTTTCAGGGAGAGGTTTGGCAGGAGAGGCCTGGACTGAGGGGAAGGTGGAGCCAACATGTAGGCAGCACTGCAGAAGCTTTCCTTTCTGACAAGATAGCAGAATAGTTGTTGGTCAGCTGACCCATTAACCAAAAAATTGGTTCAAATGGGGAAATGTAAAGAAATTATACCTATGTTCTTAAACATTTTGTCATTTTGTTTTAACTTAAGCCATGAAAACGTTCATTTTTTTCACCGGTTTTGTGGTGGGAGTGAAAGCCTTTTCTTTGAAGGAAGCCGATTGGGCTTCCATAACCTTCACAGAAACCACAACTATAATGTGATGACTTTAAATCCAGTTTCTTTCCCTTTCTTTTTTTCTTTTTTAGATTCAGCAGAATTTGAAAGACCCATGTGAAGCAGTCTAGGGGCAGATTTTTGTGATTTTTTCCTCATCTTTTACAGTTGTCTGCCCACACCCAACTTGGCAGCCTATTGTAGCTAGTAGCTAAATTAGTCTTTATGAAAACAACTTAACTTTTATTCTCATATTTCGTTGGTTAACACAACATGTAGCCACATGTATTGATTGAAGCAACAGAACTACTGACATAAATAGGTTTGAGTATAAATACTGTTGACCCTTGGTAAGTGTACCCTCAACTATGGGAACAGACACGTGTGGGTGACCAGACGGGGCCCTGCCTGCCTGGAGCAGGAGCTCGGATGCCAGGCCGTGTTGTTCCAGGGACGGGGGTGGCACCAGCTAATCCAGCTCCACGTGGGGGTGGCCAAGGGAGCCTCTCTGTATAGGAGCATGGAGTGGCCTGAGAGTGTGCAGAGCAAGAACACAGAGGAATTGATGAAAGATGGTCAGAGACATATGAGGAAAACTGGGAAAATATGGCTGCAGAGAAGCATTTAGAACCTCTTTTCATAATTACCTCTGTTTGTGTCTGTCTCCTCTCCCACGCTGACTTGAGGTCAGGGATGGCTTATTGTACACCATTGTTTCTTCTCCTTCTAGTCCATTCCCAGCACTCGAGAAACCTCTCATAAATATGTTTGAATGAATGGAAGTGTGTGTGTTTTCCACGGGGCTGTTGACAAAGAGTGAGCAATCCTTATGCACAGTGAGTCTCTCCCCTGGAAGTCATGGGTCAGCAGACTGTGGGCCACCTGATCACGTGTGTTCTGTGTCTCGGCTTTACCCCACTGACAGCGTGTATGTGAACTGAGATCATTGTTCAGCTCACATTGCATGTCAGCCTCCCTCGTCTAAGCCAGCATCCTGGTGTCTTCCAGGTACAACTGGGTGGGAAGGTGACAGGTATGATCTTGGTGGACCCAGCTATAGTGATATGAAAGAAAAGCCATAATTGTTCATGAGTTTTCATAAGTCAAAGTCTTGGTTGGTTCCCACTACACGTTAGCATAGTGACTTCTCTGCAGGCAGTGAAACACTAGATCATTAATGCTAGGATATGTTAATGTGGAAAAGCAAGTCCAATCATCAGAACTATAATATTGCAGTTAATGTAATTGGTTCATTCATTTATTATTCATTTGTTTTGTGAATGCTGTCTGTTACATGGTCAATCAGTCTTCATTCACTGGGTAAGCAAGTCATCACCCTCTCTATTTCTCTATAAGCTTGTGACTCCTGGTCTGCTCTGTGAGAGTGGCAGAGAACCAGGTATCACCTGTGCCACCTTTTGTGTTTAAGACATGATTTAGGTTAGCATAGTGTGCTAGAACCTGGATGAGGAGATGAGAAGCCTGTAATGAGTGTCCTCTCCCCTCCTTTCCCTCGGGCAGCTTGGGAATGAACCACGATGACGACCACTCCTCCTGCGCTGGCAGGTCCCACATCATGTCGGGAGAGTGGGTGAAAGGCCGGAACCCCAGCGACCTCTCCTGGTCCTCCTGCAGTCGAGATGACCTTGAAAACTTCCTCAAGTAAGTCCTTGAATTGTTCTGTGCAATCAATGCAATAGAAAGTACTACAATACTTCCTAAAGACACGATAGTTGGAGTCTCAGTCAGTGTGAGCAGAAGTGAATCTCTTAGAATTCTCAGCTGGTCAAGCTTCCTCCCAAGTGTGCATCTGGTATGACACTGGGCACCCAGCTGGTGATCATAAAACTTATCGATGGAAATGTCAATGCAGTGACTGTATCTTGACAAGATTTCATTTCACTTCTCTGCATTATTTTGACTGTGGGTGGGCACCACCCTAGTGACACACTTCGGCTACTGTAGAACAGGGCATTTCCACAACACTCAGGCTGCTTCCCTGGACAGGAGTCCATCTGCTGGGAGGAGGGCTTGCTCACCTTCCTCACTTGTGGGACTGGGATGAGTTTATCTCATAGCCACTTTCTTTCCAGAATGTGTCTGCATCACTCCATTCTCAAACTTCCGTGGAAGAATTGGCCATCTGATGTCAGAACTTTGTCAGACAGAGTCTGTGCTCATATACAATGTGGATCCCTTAGTGTCAGGGCCTCAGGGCTGAACTTACAGGTTTGACAGGCAGACCCTGATTGTTTCACCACTTAATTGCATCATCTCTACACCCCATGGTGACTGAAGGGGTCAGTGAGTCTCTCCTACACACAGAGCTGTCCAACAACACAGTGGAGTGCCCAGTGAACTCAGGGAGGAGGACCAAAGGCATCACTCTGGCTTCATCCTGGGTCTTCTTTCATGAGGTTTCCTGTGGTTGGGAAACTAAATGGTACACAGGGCTTAAAAATGGGCTCATTAGGGACTTCCCTGGTGGTCCAGTGGGTAAGACTGCACGTTCCCAATGCAGGGGGCCCAGGTTCAATCCAGGGTTGGGGAATTAGATGCCACATGCATGCTGCAACTAAAGATCCTGCATGCTGCAACTAAACATGCCACAGCGAAGAACCCACGTGCTGCAACTAAGACCTGGTGTGCCAATAAATAAATAAAAATAATAATTTAAAAAAATTGCCTCATTAGTTTTAATATAGTCTATTTCCTACTGAGTACTTGTATCACCAAATCATAATGCAATGTTGGAAGCCACTTGACATTATTTCATTTTACCCAGAAGGGTCAGTGAAACAAAGGTATTTTCATCTGCTCACATATACAGTACTGGTCCCACTGACTTTGTTGAAGTGTCCCATGAGTTTGAGCCCAGGAGAGGTGAACCAGTATCAGCCTGTGTGTATTGCGTGCGTGCAACTCTTTTCTTCAAGAATCTTGGCAAGAGGCTGGGTTTTCTTTTTACTACCATCTGCCTTGTTTTAGGAATTAAAAAATAAAAGCATTCAAGTATTTAACTCCTAATGGAGCCGCAGCCACACAACCCCCAGTTTAATTTTTCAGAGCTGTTCTCAACATCTCTGAACATTTCCATCCTGGTTGAAATCCCCAAGTCCTTTGCACAGTGTGCCACCAGCCAACTTTCATGGCCAGGTGGGGCATCTGGACCAGCCAGCAGCCATGGCCCCCCAAGAAAATCTACAGAATTGGAAATAAGCTTGCCTATTTATTTATTTATTTAAAAGAAAACAACCCTACTCCAATTGTTTCTTTATTCATAGTGACTTTTGCTAAAGCCACATTCTAAGAAAATATCATAGGACTCTATTTCAAAAGCATTTTCATCCAAGAAAGCACTCAGACTCCCTGACAAAAATACATTAGCCATGTGGGTGATAAGCCCAGGCCCTTTCCTAGTTGCCCAGTTCTCATGGCCTCCAGAGTAAAGATCTGCATTCAGCTATGTGGAAAAAGAGCAAAAAGTGCAGCCCATGTGTCTGGTGCCTGGTCATCTCCCCATAAATAATTTGGAGGTTCCTGCTTCTCGGTGACTGAAAAAGCAGGACAAAAACCTGGGTGGTACATTTGCAAACCAACTTGCCTCTCGGCTGTTTCAGGTCAAAAGTTAGCACTTGTTTGCTGGTCACAGACCCCAGGAGCCAGCACGCAGTGCGCCTGCCCCACAAGCTGCCAGGCATGCACTACAGCGCCAACGAGCAGTGCCAGATCCTCTTCGGCACCAATGCCACCTTCTGCAGAAACATGGAGGTAAGCAGCCTCAGGAGGGGAAGGCTGGCTCAGGAAGGAGCACCTGGCTTCTGTGGGAGGATACAGGCATTTACACTCCACACACACACACACACACATAAACATATGTGCATACGAGCATGCACATACATGCACACGAATATACCTCATGAACAGCTTCACGGGGCACCCAGAGTGAGCCACACACATACATGTGCATGAACACATACACACACATGCACACATAGGCAGGGGGATGGTTCAGAGTTACTGCTGACACCAATAGCCTAATGTTTTATTTTGTTTTGTTTTTTAATCCAAAGGTATTTCTTTTTTAGTAGCCTGTCTTAACATGAAAACAGTAAGACACTAGGAAAAAGTAAATTAGCCTATTCTTGGAGGTGATATCAAACCCGGCACAGATATAGAAGAGAGCTAAAAACTACTGGACGTTGGAGAGTGTCATATTGAGAACATTTAACAAATAATAAATTGATTATATGATAATAGTATTAATAATCCCATTAAAATGTTACCATTTACTGAACAATGCCCAGATGCTTTGCCCTAAAGCTTCCAATGTGCCTGATATCAATTAACCCTTACCACAGACTCCCGAGGTTACTGCCAGGGTACAGGGTACTTACTACTCCCAGGGTACAGATGATAACATCAAGCCTCAGGGGTGAACTGATCATTCAGAATGGCTTGGCCAGTAGATAAGTAGAGGATTTGACTCAAGTCTGTTCACCCCCAGAGCGTGCACTTTCTCACCGTACTGCAGACAGCTGGGCCACTTCTGTGGGTGGGGGGGATGTGCTCAGGCCCTGGGGCAGGCTGTCTCCATGCTGGAGCCCCAGGGGAGGGCCAGAGCAGCCTGTGGCTCAGCCAGCAGTTGGCAGGGATGGATGCGGAACCGGCACCATCATGGGGCAGGAGGACAGGAGCAGGAGAACCAGCCTGGGATGTGTGGGACTCAGGAGCCACCCAGTGGCAGTCGGCCTGGAGCTCAGGGCAGCATCTAGTCCCAGGGAGGCAGCCTGCAGGGCTGGATGGGTGCCCAGAGCAAGAACTCAGGACGGGAGCAACTCCAAGACAGATGGATAGACCCGGACTGTGCCTTCAAAATGAGACCCCGGGATCCCGGCCAGCACAGCAGGTCAGCCTGGACTCCAGGAGGCGGGATGCTGCCTCTTGAGCGTTTCCTGGCTATGCGTGAATTGGTTCAGGAAATCTGGGTGGAATCTGCAGGTGGGGCACTGCCTGCCATTGTGTGGAGTATGGAAAAGGGCCGTGCCTCACAACCAACCTAGCACCTCCTGCTAGCTGTTTCCTCAAAGGGCATTTATTCACAGGGTTGTCCTGAGTCTTCCTCTTCCGTTCCCCTGTGGAGGTGCCAGCAAGGGTCTCTTCCAGGCCCTGGTAACAGGAAGCTGTCTCCCACTTCACACCCAGCCACGGCTGGGTTGAAGGACACCTCCCTGGGGAGATGGGACCAGCCCCCGGATCCGATCATCCCCAGTGGTCTGCTACGATGTCTGGTGCTCACCATCAGCCTTGACCGTTGAGGCTTGACCATTGAGGCACTCATTCATGTACCATAGGCTGGCCAAGAGGCATCCTGTTTGTCTGTCCCAGCCTTCAGTCACTTAAAGTGCATGATGGCACAGAACTATCAGAGAGGGCGGGTTTCAGAGGGTCGTTTGATGGTGTGGTGACACCAGGAGATCCACGTGCATGGTACCCCAGTAGAGGATGGCGAGCATTCGAGAAGGGTAGACGTGCCCCGGGCACCCAGAATGGAGAAGAGGGAAGCGCCCAGCTGAGTCAGCGGACACACAGTGGCCACTCTGCCCACTGTGGAGTCTTCCCTGGCCAACAGGATTAACTGGGGTGGGAGCTGGACAGAGGCTGCCTCCTCCCAAAGAGCCGCAGCCATTGCCTTCTAGGAGCCAGGCTGTTGCACATCAGTTGGGTGAGGAGAGATAGGAGGAGGGAGGTACCACTACTGGTGGCTCATGATCTTCTAGGCTAGACTCTTTCCATGCACTGTCACATGAAACCCTGACTGCAACCCTTGAGGGCAGGGGCTTTGAACTCCACTTAGCAGATGAGAAAACAGAGGCTGAGAGAGGCTTGGTAATGGACCAAGGTCAGTCAGCCAGAAAGGGATGGGCTGAAGACCAAGCCCAGGTGTGAGTATTCCTGCAGGAGAAAAGGCAGGCTCCATTCATTCAAAGACAGATTCCAAAGGAGAGAAAGGTAACCTGGTATTTTATTTTCCTTCATTAGCAACTTTTTGTTTGAAGAGGACAGTGAGAGGTCAGCAAAGCATGTTTAGCTCAGCTGTGTTGCTCCTTTCTCCCTAGAAGCTCAAAATACAACTATATAAAGTGAGATCTTTTGTAAGTTAAAATGCAGCTGAACATTTATTCCTACAGCTCACCAAGAACCACGAAATATGCCTTCCTGCTTGCCTTTTCCTTGAGAATTCCACCAGTACCAAAACAAAGTTGACATTTTCCTCCCCAAGTCCTAGCAGTGTTACCGACCAGGGTTCTTGGTCTCCTTAATCAATAGAAACTGATCAGAGGCCAGACAAGAAATTCAGGCGAGGCTTTATTGGGGCCCCTGCTACAGCATGGGGGTAGTGAGAACAAGTAACAGGTTCCTTTGCTTGCTCGCTCCCTGAGGTTTCATTATATGGGGTGAGGGTAGGGATGGATCCAGGGGTTGGGCTGGAGGGGTGGCCTAGGTGATTTGACCACCCCTTTGGTGGTGTTGTGTGCAGGGGGCATGTGCAGTATCCTGCTTCTGCTCCCGACACCCTGTTTTTTACTCCTGGCTCTTCAGAAGTGGCAGTTGATTTGCTTTGGTCTTTTTGTATCTTGCTGTACAGAATTTGCCCCAACTGCGCATGCACATGGTTTGTTTGTTTTTAATTAATTAATTAATTTGGCTGCGCCAGGTCTTAGTTGCTGCATGCAGGATCTTTTAGTTGCGGCATGCGAACTCTTAGTTGCGGCATGTGGGATCTAGTTCCCTGACCAGGGATTGAACCTGGGCCCCTTCCCCCCCTGCATTGGGAGCATGGAGTCTTAGTCACTGGACCACCCGGGAAGTCTGCACGCAGTTATTTTTAGTCCCTTATAGTTTCTTTGTATTTTGTTGCTTGAGGAGACATTTGTCCAGGTGCAAGCACTGCAGCAGAGGGTCCCAGGTCCCAGGTCCCAGCCTGTCTCAGCAGGAATGACTCCTTAGAGGTGTGGAGGTGCTCAGCTGACTCAGCATCAGCCTAAGCTGGTGGTGATCATCCTGCTTGCAAGGCTGGTGGTGCTACCTTCAGCACAAATATACCAGTTAGAAAACGGTAACTTCTCATGCTGGGGAAAATGTCATACTAATATCAACGAGACACTGGTGGATGAGAGAGGCAGTTGCCTGCTGGGACCCAGGACTTGGGGATGCTGCCCTAGCCCTGGGACACCTCGTTGGAATCTCACCCAGGCACCACCCTGTGGGATTCTAAAGCTCGCTTGATTGGTGTTTTGCTCATTTGTGCGCTTATAGGTCTGTGTTTCAGTTGATGTTCAGCATAACAGGAGGCACACATATGTTGTACTGTTCCTTTCTTCCTCCTGTCCTCATCCCCTTATTCGCTCCCTTTCATCTATTCTGTTCCAGTTCTACTTGCCTTCCTCCTCTTCCTCGAACCCACAGGGCACGCTCCTGGTGGGGATGCACTCTGCTTCCTGCTGGCTGTTTCCTCTACTTGGACGGTCCTCTCTCAGTTGTCCACGTGACTGAGCCCCTCATCTTTTTTGAGTCTTTTGTTTGTCTGTTTGTTTGTTCATATGTAACCTCCTCAAGGAAGCCTACCACGCTATTTAAAATTTCCATCAGATAACTCTCCCCTGCCACCTTTGTGGCACCCAGATCTCCTGATCCCCTAAGGGAAAACCCTGCTTTCATAAACTTATCATCTTTTAACCTGCTATATAATTTGCTTGTTTATATGACTTTTGTGTTGATAATCTCTCTCTTCTAGATTTTAAATCCTTCAAGGGTAATAATCTTACTTTTCCTCAACAGTATTTTCCAACTGCCTCAGCCAGTGCCTGGCACATGGTAGATATTCAAGTATGTGTTGCTCTGAAATCCATTCATGACCCTAACGGTAAATTTAAGTTCTTATGTGACTTCACCCAACCACTGATGATACTGGACACATTCACAGGCGAGGGAGGAACCCTTACAGGCCTCCCCGTAAAATGAATTGGCTCTCTAAGCCTGAGTCCACATTTCTCCATCTGGTTCACCAACATACATGTAAGACTCTGTCAAATATCTTGCAAGCGTTCATACAAACCTTTCCTGTGGCTTCTTCCCAAGACAGTACAAGTCTGATAGTGAGAGACTGCAGCCTGCTTCCTAATGGCCGTGCATTAATTAATACCCTCATTGTTAAAATCTGAGACTCCTGGTGAATTAATACACGTAAGGTGCTGAGAACTGAGTCTATCACAAAGTAAGCACCCAATCATATGAGCTGATGAATGTGTTGCTGTTACCTTTCTGGATAACACTGGCTCCCCACTATGGGGGCACAGAACTAAGCTATCTTTGTACATCTCCAGGATCAGCATTTTTCTATATTGAACTCCTCAGGGCCATGAAAAATTAAACATTATACAAAACTCCAGAGACCTTCAGCGCCAACCGAAATGTCGTGTAATCCAATTGATCTCTATAACCATCATTATTCTTTAATGCCCTTGAGGATTGAAATGGATATCATGTAATGAAATGATCGTGGTCCCAATATTGCCTTTAAATTTCTTATCCTGACATCTGCCTTCAGCCAAGATGGAGTATCAGGGACCAGATTTATCTTCCCACCTGAAGCAACTAAGAAATCAGATGAAATATACGGAACAGCAATTTTCAAGACAGTGGCCATTAAGCAAGGAAGGACTGTGGTCCTTGGGAGATGTGAAACAAATGAGGTGAACCCTCTGATT